AAGCCATTATCCGGGTTATCCCGAGAGCCAGCTTATTCTGTTCCTCGGGTCTGTTACAGAAAATTAAGCGGGTATTCACATTTCATATAACACTGAGAGGTTGTCCTTTTGAATGCCGTGCACCGATGAGGAAGAAAATTTATGAGGTTATTCTCCACTGATGTTATCGCGAAACGCAGTGCCGTTGGCTATCTTTGCTGCGTTGGCAGCGAGCTTGCACGCAAGCCGGTGACCTTACATATATATATATATATATCTGTGAAAATGTGCTTTCTGAAGATGATAGAAATTATTGGGGTGTTGGCATATCCCATTACTATGTAGCAACGATTGCGTACTATTTTGCTTCATTTTTCCGTCCCCTTTTCTTTCTATTTCTGTCTGAAAAATGTAGATTCTGGTCAAGCGATTGCGTGAGGAGAGCTTGCGCCTTTTTTCTTTGTCTTCCGCCTGTCAACCGAGTGCAATCCTAAGGTCCAATCTGGATCAACCTGCAGTGGTTGAGATGTCAACTTTGGTGAGTGTACACGGGACCGATACCGGACCCCGGGCAACTGACCACATTTCCTCCGTGCAGCATCAGTCCCTTCTCCTTGGGCAAAATGAGCCACCAACCGATCCAGGATCACTGCTACCTATCTCCCAGCGTCCGTCCTCAGTCCTAACAGACTTGGTCCGTGCGAATACTACTTTGAAAGCAGCACTAAAGAGTCTCGCGCAGGTACGACCAGATTCTTACGCATTCAAGGTGCACGGATCCCTTCCACGTACTCAAAGATATTTACTCAAGTAAACTACCCGATTTTGTCACACTTTCGATCATTAAACTGTTTGTTATCCCTCTCACCACTTGTACAGGAAGCGAGAGGAAGTAAGGGAGATACTGTTCAATTCCTTTGATTCTCTTTCTGTCGATTACAGACTGTGGAAAGCTATGAAAATACCGACACTGCTCCTGATTCCGTAATCCCGGCTACCCTGTCCAAAGACCACGTTCAAGAACTGGTCCGTTGCACTGCTCACGCGCTGGCCGCTGACGAA